CAAAAAAAAAAAAAAAAAAAAAAAAAAAAATTGCAAGCAAGATTAACAATAATAAAATAAAGGTAAACAAAAAGAAACGAAAGGGGTACTATACATTAAATACGGGAATCATAAACACAAATAATAGAGAGAATGAAAAGAATGGTAGAGTTTTTCTATGTCCTCTCTCTCTCTTTTTTTTCGTTTTCTCCTTTTATTATTGTTATTGTTATTATTATTATTATTCCCTCTTTAGTAGAGACGATATGTGATACTCATCTCTGATAGTTTCTCTGGACTTGTCTCGCGTTCCTGTGCCTCTTTAAGACGTTCTCTAAGATCAGCGAGTCTTACCATGATAACATCTTTACGGAATTTAGAGAGATGTAATCTAATGAGACTAAGTGCCCCATGTATATCACTATATCCCGCATCCTTAAAGACCCATTTCGCTACAGACTCTGCAATGAGAAGATTATGTACATATCCCTCACTCCCCATACTTCCACAAGTAGGACAACGGAAAAGACTTGGGGCAATACAGAGGGAATCAAAACAAACCAAACAGAAGGTATGACCACATGGCCAGAAGAGAACAGGATCTTCAAATAATAATCCGCAAACTCCACACGTAAGTGTATCTTCCAAGACTTCACTTACATCTGTTAATCGTTCCACAAAGGTATCTAATCGTTGCACATGACCACGGAAGGCTTCTTCTCGTTCTCCAAATCGTCGCAACCATAATAATTGTTGTTCTAATGTATCGGAGAGAATATTATTCTGTAATCCAATCGTACGGTAACGTGGACCACGTGCGAGTTCCGCCTCAAATGTGGTTCCTACATTTACATCTCCTAATTCCTGTAATGTACGCCATAACCAATAACGATGAAGAAGATTTACACGACCTACATAACGATCTCGAATACGAGCTTCATTCTCTGCTACTTGTTCTCGTAATCTCTCGATTTCTGCTTCCATGGCTGCACGGGTTTCTGCAAAGATCGTTTCACGTAAAGTGACCACACGATCTACTACCTTAGACATGAGTAAAAGACGACGTGTCATTTTTTCTGTTTTGAGAATTTCTATTTCTAATTTTTCTTGTTTATCTTGTCTTTCTTGTGCTATTCGAGCCATGATATGTCCATTTGCAGCTCCACTCTCGTAATTTAAACGCTCTAGTTCTAACTTCGCCAGTCGTGAGCGTAAGGAGACGAGAGAGTTGGCTAATTCAGATGCAATCTGTTGTGGTCTTCGCATAGAAAGAAGATGATCTAATGGTGCCACTGTTACTTCTAACTGATTTGTCTCTTCATCCTGGTTTGGTGATGGGGAAGTTCCCGCAGACTGTTCGCCATCTTTTCGCTCTTTCTCTGGTTTAGGGGAGGACTTCTTCTTCTTTCCACTTTTTTTTTTAGCCATCCCCAGACACTCCTTACACAAGGCGGAGTGTGTGTGTGTGTGTGGATCCTACGTGCTTTCAACAGATAATATATATATATATATATATAAAGAAAGAAAGAGAGATAAAGAAAGAAAAAAAAAATAATAATAATAATGATGAATTCATCCATTCTCAGATGTGAACATAAACATAGACCACTGAGAAAAAAAAAGAAATAGATATATAGATAGATAGATAAAGAGAATAAACAAACAACTTACTGTCATTTAAAGAAACTCCGACTCTGGTGTCCATGAGCCATCCAATAATCCTATACGTCGACCTTTTAGACTATACACACGTTCTTGTTGTAAAATTGGTTCAAAACACTTACGGCAATGAAATTCAATTTTCTTTTTTGCGGCAACACTACCGGAGACGTCCGGTACATCAGCGTTAATGTTCACCTCTCGGAGATGTGTAAAGACACGTGGAAAATCACAGTCACCACGCATAGCTACAACACTCCATGCAGTTTTTGTTGCCTGTATTTTATCTGTAGATATTGTTAATTCTGACTTTTTCTTCTTTTCTTTACTAATGGGTGTTGTTGCTGTGGCGGATGCCTCAGGATCCCCTAATACAAATGTTGAGAGATGTTCACGGACAAAAGACTCTATTTGAGGTGGTAATGGTGTTGGTGGTGCTGTTATTGTAAACTCTATAAGACTTACTGGATGAACTGCATAATAGGCATTTCGTTTCACCTGATATGTACAAACACATTTTGATAAGGATGAAGCGGATATACCTTCTCTTGTTATTCTTCTTCCTATAGAAGTATTATCATTATCATTATTCTTTTCTTTATTTCTATTATTCTCTACTTGTGAAGGAAACGTAAACAGTTTCTCCGCATCTACGGAAACAGGTTCAGTGAGAGTTGCGTGTCCAGCCACAAGGACATCATACTTCATTGTGAAATCCCGTAGAGAAGTTGAAAAATTATGTCGATCCGCAATAGTTACAATCACTGGACCAGAAGCGTATATATCTACATTATTGACCACACGTACTTTCATCTCTTTAGGTTGTAGTTCCCGTTGAAGAATCGGCTGCACAGATCGTGAACGAAGTGCGGCGGAAATAAAAGACTCTACAGAAACATTATGAAAATTCCCATCCGCCTCTACACGACGCATTGGGCAAAAAGGTGGTTTATAAACAGCAAAAGTACACCAACGTGAGAGGATCGTCTCATCACAAAGAAGATGAAGAGATTTGGGATTAATTAAGTGTTGATTACGTAAAAAACGTGTTTGCATATCTGTAGATGGTAGTGATGCGGAGACTCTAGCAAGTTCCGCGGCATTACGCCGTAGTGTCTCTTTACTGTTACTATGCAAAATATCTGTTAATCGCCTAGATGGGGCTTTAGAGGTCATTTGTTTATTTGATATACTGTGAATAAATAATAATAATAATAATAATAATAATAATAATAAGTTACGGCCACCTCTCCCGTTTCCCTACTTACCCTTAACAATACACCAGTAGATTGCAGGTCAAACAAAAAAGAAAAAGAAAAAAAGAATGAAGAAAAAAAAATTAATTGAAGATGATTTTATATAAAGTGGAAACAATAAATACTAATCACAAAAGAAATAACATCAATAAATTAAAAAATCATCATATCTTAACTAAGTGAAGAATCAAATAATGGATAAGTTGCTTCACTTTTTTTTTTGCTTTTTTGTTTTGTTTTTATTCTTTGTTTTGGCAATAATAATAATAATAATAATAATAATAATAATAATAATAATAATAATAATAATAATAATAATAAACATGTGAATCAAAAAAAAAAGCAGACCACAAGCAATAGATCCTTTTTTCTAGAGTTATGGAGGAAATATCTCTCCCTTTTTCCTTTTTTTTTTTTAATGCAAGTAAATAATATCCTATCATTTCACTCACTCAGTCATTCGTTGTTGTTATTATTATTATTATGGATCTTTTTACGTTGCCTGTTGAACAAGTAGAGCAAAAGAATACTCACGTGCAATCTCCTTTAGTCGTTGATAACGCCCGGATGCCCCACCATGTCCAGCATCAAATTCACAGTGATGTAAAATAATACCATCATTATTCCTCATAGTAGTAGTATTAGTAGTATTAGTATTTATATTTCTAGATGAAGTACTCGTCGCCCCTAATAAACGTTCACGTAATCGTGCCGTAAATGCAAGAGACTCCCAGTAACCTACACGGGTATCATTCCATGCTGTTTGTAGTAATAAATGCGGTAATACCACACCAGCGGGTGGAATATTATCCATTGGTGAAATCGCACGAATCATTTTATAAACAGTAGCATCTTCTTGTGGGTTTCCAAACTCATCCCATTCACATACAGTTAAAGGTAGAGAAGAATCCAGTAGAGTGGTGAGACAATCCACAAATGGTACAGTTGCAATCACACCAAGTGCCAATGATGGCGCCAAATTCATCGCCGCTGTTACTACAAAACCACCAGCAGAAGCTCCAGAAATAACAAGTCGTCCAGGAGCACACCAACAAATCCTTTTCTTCTCTTCTTTTTCTTTTTCTTCTTCTTTATCTTCTTGTCGTTGCAGGTAAAGGGCTACACTTACAAAGTCATTTACACTAGTAGCACGTTGTAAACGTCGTCCAGCATCTCGCCAGGCTACGCCGAGTTCACCACCGCCACGCACCGCCGCTGCGGCCCAAATAAAACCACGATCCAACAAAACAAGCCGCTCCGACTCAAACTCGACATCACAACAATCTCCATAACTACCATAAACTGTGAGAAGCATTGGATTTCCACCAGGAACACGTAGAGATTTCTTCCAACAGAGATACACGGGAATGTGTACAGTCTCTGCAGGTACGGCTGTTGGGAGTGGGTTTAGCGGTCCATTCTGAAAGGCATAATCGGAGGGAACCCACACAACAGATGCCTCGTAGTCATTAGACTCATATGGAGTACCACACACCACCGCATCGTAGAGTCGAGTTACACGAAGTATCATTTCTTCTTCTTCTTTTTCTTTTTCTTCTTCTTCTTCTTCCCCTTCTTCTTGTGTTAGTTTATCATCTTTGCCCTTCTTATTATTCTTATTCCTCTTCTTCTTCGTCTTGGGCTTCATTTCCAATGTACAGCCAAGAGTGGTGGTTGGAGTGGTGAGGTGAGTGACTATAATACGCCAAGAGCGGGAGTTGAAGGAAGTATCTTCTGTACTACTCATTATCCCATGAAGACGTTCATCATAATTTCCATCTAGTGCATTATTTAACTTCTTCTCTTTCTTTTCTTCTTCTTCTTGCTGTTTTTGTTTTTGTTGTTCTTGTAATAACTGCTTTAGAGAAAAGCAAACCTCAGTGAGAGGACGACTCGGTGCCTGACATGCTATCGTATAAAGATCCACAGTATCATATTGAAGAGATAATGGTTCAATATATTTCCTATTGATAATATTACCAGTCTTCTTGTTATTGTTGTTGTTATTATTATTATTCATGCTGCGCCATCGATTCCATAATGTACGTATAGGGAGTAGAAGCACTGTAGGGAATGCTGAACGCCGTGCACTAATAAGGAGATAATCCCGTTGACACTCCACACACTCTACACTAATATATGGATCATATGCAAAAAGAGGTCGCCATTGTGAAATAGATGAGAGCGTATACGTGTTATTATTACTACTACTACTACTACTACTACTACTACTATTACTGTTAGCATCATTTTCTTTTTCACTCCATTCAATATCATCATCTAAAAGATAAGCAACTCGAAAGTTTTCCTCCACTGGAGGAGCGTTTACAGTAACCATCACCCAAGCTCCAATACCTTCACCAAAGAATGACTCATGATGATCCACATCATAATCCACATGTGATTCACGTCCTAGAAAACAAAACACAGGACATTTATTTTCTTTCTTGAATTCATGAATACTGTTACCATTGCTACTCCCACTGTTATTATGAGACTCACTTTTCTTTTCTTCTTCTTTATTATTATCATTATTATTTTCTCTGTGATCCTCTTCTCTTTCTTCTGTTTCTTCCTCCTCTTCTTCCTCTGTTAAGGATGTACGAACAACAGGAACACCCGTAATAAACCGTTTGGTTCCCACATCACATGGAATAACGTACACTTCCGAACAATTACCAGAGGCAACAGTAAACATAGCAAAACATTCATCAGCAGTAAAACAAAGAGAACTAACCCAGTAGGCCTCATCTATTTCCTCATAACAGATAGTGTCTGCCTGTTCAGAGTCTACAGGTACCGTAAGATCGTGATGAATTACCCTACACGAGCGCATTTTACTATCTATACCCACATAAAGTAACGCATTAGGACTTAACCAGAGAATTTCATCCGATGCATCAAAAACGTCAATTCGTCTTGTGATTTTATGTGTTGGTGGTGTTTGCTTCCCACGTGTTTGATTAGTAGTTACGGAAGGAGAAGCAAAAGAAGAAGAAGAAGAGTCCATACTTATCGTTGACGATGACGATAATGATGATGATGATGATGATGAAGAAGAAGGTAGTGTTGTATTAGTGACTTCCTTTTTGGTTTCTGTATCTTCTTCTCCTACAGGAAACTCCATAGACATCTCACTACTCTTTGATCTCTCTTTGCTATTATTATTATTATTATTATTATTATTATTATTATTATTATTACCAAAAACACGTCCACGCCCTTTTCCACTATTTAACATTGTAGCACTACGCTGTGATGATGATGATGGTGGTGGTAGACGAGTGGTTGGAGATACGTAGATAGATTGTTTCCCTCTTTCTACTGCTTCTGCCCAGGCGCGGTGTAATTGCGAGTGTTCATGCAGCCACTGTCTATAGTTTACATCTGTCATGTTCATTATAAAGATTGTATACACTTCTCTTCCATTTGAACAGTCAACAGCAACGGCGAGTCTCTTTCCATCGGGTGATACCTCCGCATCACCAATTTCCACCGACTCTAATCGTAATTCACGCATGAGAAGATTAACATCTAGATAGATTTCCTCTTCCGCAGAACGTGGTAACGGAGCAGCAGGATTACGTGCCCATAGTCGAGCAACATCTCGCACAAAAGAAGAACAAGAAGAGGAAGAACTTCCATTAATAACATCCGCATCTGTTGTTGTTGTTGTTGTTGTTGTTTGTGTGTCTACAGGTCGACGACAGAGAAGTGGATGATCAGCACCGGTGACAGTACGTGTATAGTACCAATATCCATCATGACGATGTGGAAGACTTGCATCTTCTTCTTTCCATCGTTCTCGCATTTCGCGGTATAAAGTGCGGCGTAATTTGGTGCCGCCGTATGCTGTGAAGATAGATTCTGTGTGATTGTTTTCACGCCGCAGTAAACGTCGGACTTCGGCATTGCGGCGATCACGCAGCCAATGATAGGGATCGTCTCGAATATCGCCAAAGTGTTCTAACACATGTGTCTTTCGCGTATAACGGGGAGGAGGATTAAACATCCCACTACCATTATTATTGTTATTATTATTATTATTATTATTATTATTATTATTATTCTTGTTGTTGTTGTTGTTCCTGTTGTTGTTTTTTTTAGTGGTGGTGCTGTTCATTATCAGAAGGAGATCCACACATGGACACACTAACACACATACACACACACACACACTTAAGCGATGGGGAAAAAGAGATGTATAGGTAGAAAGAAAGAAAAAAAAAAAGAGACAGATGAAAATAAATGAATAAAAAATGAATTCAAGAAGATAAAACATTTTCAAAAAGAAACAAAGAAAGAAAAGAAAAAAGAAGGAAATGAAAGCAGAAATTACTGATGTAAATGGAAACAAAGACCAAAAAAAAAAAGCGAAAATGCAACACACAGTCTGTTCTTTCCTTTATATACCTTTTTTTGGTCATCTACTACTCATTCATATAATATAGACGTATATATATAAAAATATACTAACACACACAATATATATATATATATATATATATATATATATATATAGAGAGAGAGAGAGAGAGAGAGAGAGACAGGTAAAAGAAAAAAAAAAGATGGGAATCATCACTCCTCTAACAACCCCACAGTTTCATCCCATTTAAACGAAACGCATTTTTATTTATTTTATTTTCTATTTTTTTTTTTTTTCTTCTTTTACTAATAACCTTGAACACCCACCTTACGAGTGGTAGGATTTACTGGGCCCACACCTGCCCGTCTCATCTCACGCCTCATTTGACGTTTCGTTTTATGTTTTTCTTTTTCAGCTTGACCGGGTAATATGTTATCCTTTGCATGTGCAGTGGCTCCAACAATTTCTATAATACCATCATCATCATCAATAATAAGTTCCACTTCTCCATCATCATTTACAAAAGTATTATCCACTGGTTCCAGTTGATGATTGGTACGACGTTTTCGTCTGGCAGCTGCACATGAGGCTAATGCCATGCGAGATTGATTGGCTTCTGCATTAAATGTCTCATGTGGAGTTAGAGTTCCCCGCATACATCGTGGACGTGAATAAAACATGGCTGCAGCGGTTTTCATATTACTTGCATAATTGTGTGCATCCTCATCTTCATCTTGTGCCATTTCCCAATCATGACCATCATCACTGAGTGCTCGAGCATCAGCGGCACTGTCAAGATCATCCCAGGCAGCATCATCATCTTCATCATAGTCTTCATAACTGCTGCTATTGCTACTACCACCACTATTAGAGGTAGAAACATCCTCCCACTCATCATTCTTAGAGGCGTCAACGTTATTATTATGATTATGATTATGATTATTCTGATTATTATTTTTGTTCGTAGTATTATTATGATTATTATTATGCTGGTGGTGTAGTGTCGAATGAACTGTATGGTTCGCAGTAGAAGTTCCCACTGCAGCAGCAACATTAGCATTAGCATTAGCACTAGCATTAGTAGTAGCAATAGTATTCGTATAGTTTGGTGGTGGCTCTGCATACACGAGAGCTCCATCCACGTGGAGTTTCAACACTTCACGCGCCGCACGTGATTTATTCGGCCTATCATGTGCGCCCATGAAACCCCGTCTTCTTGCCACGGCATTCAAAAAACGTTCAGCGAGGGAATGACTATCATCCACATCATCCTCCGCCGCGAGGGAAATATTGAAATGCCACTCCAACACCGATCGTGGAATACGTCTGCAGACAACCGCCACAGCCGAGAGAGCATCTGTAGCGGTATCAATAGGAAGAATACCATCACACACCATCTTTGCTCGTGTGGAGGCAAAAGATGGGAAAACAAGACCAGGACAATCACATAAAGCCACACGGCGTTCATTAGGAATAACAAGTGTTTGAAAGTGTTTGGTTTTTCCAGGAGTAGCACTGACCACCACCTTTTTGCAGCCGAGAATGGCGTTAATAGTGGAGGATTTTCCCACATTTGGATAACCAACAAGGCCAACCATTAAAGGGGTTTCTCTGTTATGTACCTCACGCAACTCTGCGAGTCGATCTAGTAATTGTTCAGGATCCAACACCGCCCATCGTTTCTTTTCTTCTTCTTCTTCTTCTTCTTCTTGCGATTGTTTTTGTTTTCCTTGTTCTTTTTTGTCACTTTCCTTTTGTTGCTGTTGTTGCTTAAGACGAGCATCACGTGCCTTTTCCTCAGCTGTGAGAGTTTCTGGGAGTTTAGAGACTTGTGGATGTTGTTGTTGTTGTTTTCCCTTTAGTTGTTGTTGTTGAGTGCGGCGTGATTTCTCTGCTCGTCGTTGTTCCGCCAATTCATATGGATTTGCTACGGCGACAGGAGCACGCAGAGATTTCTTAATATGACGACGTTTTTCTTTTTTGTTTTTGAAAAGTCCAGAAACCTGAGGCACTTCTTCTTCTTCTCTTTCTTCTTCTATCTCTTCTTGTTCCACCACCTCTTCTTCTTCTTCTTCACTACTATCACTATTATCACTATTCGTACTTTGTTTCTTCTTCATCTTATCCTGTGTATATCTTTCCTCCTCATGTTGTTGTTGCTTTGCAGCCGTTGTCTTTGCAGCTGCCGCTGCGGAAGAAAAGAAAAAGAACTTTTCACCTCGTTCTGTAAAGTACGTTGCCCACGCCATCCGTTGACTCTCTGTTAATAGATCTGACTTATTCAGTAGAAATATCACTTCTTTTGGTTTCCCGGCATTATTGGTGGTGGTTCGCACATAGGCTTCAAAATCCGCACAACGGAATACAAGTGGATTACGAGCATCTAATATCATTAACACCACATCTGCTCTTTCCACCACTCGCCATAATTGTCGCCAGACTTCCAAGTTCTTTTCATATGGTGTCATCACCACTTTATGTTCTTCTTCCAGTTTAGAGAGACGACGACGCCAATCAAAAAAGACGGATGTTTCTCGTTCTTGTAATTGTTCCGCAGACATTGCATAACTCCATGCTGGACGACGGGGAATTGTTAACAATTCACTGAGTTTTAACCAATCCACACGATCATCACTGAGAGGAACGACTTTTTCATTCGTCACGACATGTGGAGTGCCATCCACAACAAGACGTAAATCTCGTGCGGCTTCATATCCTTTTTCACGGGCATCTGCAATGAGAAGAAACTCATCCAAATCATTAGTTTCCCAAATAGATTTTAATGCTGCTCCTTTTCGTTGTTGTCTTTGTTGTTCTTCCACTTCCAACAGGGCAGTGACATCCCGTTGGGCTTCTACCAATCCATGATACTTCGCCCGCTTACTCCGCTGCGTGGCCTCCTTGGAGCGCTGAAAACTCTTTCCTAATGAGTGCATTATTGTTGTTTTCTTTTTTTTTTTTTTAAATTTGTCTTCTTGTTTTTTTTTTTTTTTTGCTTGTTTGTTTGTTACTTTATTTGTTTTCGTTTACACGCTTTTACACTAACAACTATATCGTCGTTATTTTCTTTTTTTTTTTTTCTTCTTTTCTTTCTTAGGTCCCCGTGCGTCCTTTAACTACACTCGGTACCAACAACTAGTAATAGATGATATTACGAGAAAGATGGACACATATGCAAAAGAATACAAATAAAAGAGAGAGAGAGAGATTTACATATATATACATAGTAATAAAGAACTACAATAAAGAAGAGACAATTAACAACAGTAAACTTTATTTTCATACTAATAATAATAATAATAATAATAATAATAATAATAATAATAAAAACGAGAAATAAAAGCCACACAAACACATATGCACTGTAATTGAAAGAGCACATTAGCATTACAACAAAAAAGAAAAGGTATGCTTCGTGTTTAGCTTTCTTAGTGATACGCTACGATTTTTTTTTTTTTGTTTTTCGTCAAGAACGCATCTACCCATCTCCTTTTTTTTGTTCTTTCATTCTTTCATTTCTCTCTCTCTCTCTCTCCCTCTCTCTCTCTCTTTCTCTTTCACTCTCTTTCTGTTTAGTAGGATCCATCATACGACTGCTGTTGATCTTCCCCACCCTCTGGTGATCGTTGACGTTTTGGCATCATTCGATATCCACCAGCATTGTTGGGATCATGTAAAGCCGCCGGTGTGGAACTCATCTGTGGTAATACCGCCTGATCTACACAAACTGGTGGAAGTACATATGCTGTTGTTGTTGTCTGTTGTTGTTGTTGATGTTGATGTTGATGTGATGGTTGCATCATCATTTGTTGATGTTGTTGATGATGTTGTTGATAGGCCCCAACACGGAGTTCGCCTCGTCCATGTGCATAACTGCAGTGATCTCCTTTTGTACAGCGTCCATCCACAAACCGTTGACACATTCTCGTTTTGAGAAAATTATCTCGTGGAGCTCCAACGCCACTAACAGCAGCACCGCTGCCGTAGTGAGTATGTGAAGATCCCTGTGGGATCATATAATAAGATGGACCACCACCTTCCGTATTCATTGGATCTTCCAAACCACCAACACCACCAGCGCCTTTCATCGCCGCATTATTCAGTTGGGCGAGAAATGAATTTGCACGAGAAAGAAGAGAGGCTTCGCCTTCTGCCTGCATGGCACAGTAAAGTCTCCAACTATGTTCATTAAAACCATAATTGAAGTAATCTTTTAAATTAGCTGCGGGATCTTCCCATGGACGTTTTTGCATTTGGGTAATATCATATCCAAACACGGCGGTATTTAACTGCGGGCCATCGGCGTGCCGTACACATAATGGAATAAGACCCACCACATCATCTTTTCCTTCTATCGTATCATCTCTCGTATCGTATGAAGATTGTTGTTGATGTTGATGATAATGTTGTTGTTGTTGTTGTTGATCCTCTTGTTGTTGATGTTGATGTCTTTGTGGATCCACAGGCGCAACGGATGGATCGAATGGCTCCTCTGCTTGATTGATGACAAAGGGATTATCTACACTCTCTGACATTTTCTCTTAAGGACCTCTTCTTTTCTCTTTTTCTTTTCTTTTTTTCTTTTCTTTTTTCCTTTGGGGTTCTTCTTTTTCTTTTTTATTTATTTATTTTATTTCGGCCTCTCTTCTTTACACAACCCCCTCCCCTTCGCTATTGTAATAGAGATCATTAAAGTAAAGGAAAAAAGAAAAGAAGAGAACAAGAATATAAAATAAAAAGGTTTAAAAACTAAATAAGAATATATATATATATATATATATACCGAAAGAGGGGGAAAGAAAGAAAGAAAGAGGTGTGTGTGTGTCAGTGAATAGCAAATCAAAAACAAACAAAAAAAAATCCCGTAATAGAGATACGAGAATCTCTTTAGAGTTCCACTCTAAACAAAGTAGGAAATATCATAGAAGGGGTACACACACACAGAGAGATCCATAATAAGCCCACAGAAGAAAAAAAAAAAGAAAAAACACACACAAACAGAGAGAAACAATATACGTGTAGAATTCGTGCAAAATCAATAAAAGAAATATATGACGATTGCAAATAATAAGAATGAAAAAAA